CCCCACGACATAGGCAATCCTTGCCTTAGCGGTGGCATACCTTCATGGTTGCAAATCAAAAACTAGTCCACGTTGCATTAAAAATGACCCACATTGACCCACATCCCCACCACATTTCTCGGGGGTTGGTATCCACGGTTCTCGCCGATAATGCAAATGCCTTAGGCATGGCGGATGCTACGACCGGAGTGCTGATGTGGTTCTGGATGGCAGAAACGCTGAGACTAGTCATTATCTCTTGCAAGGCCAAGTTGTGCTGGCCAATCAGGGTTCCCTGATTGGAAACTGCCTGGCGAACGGCGTCCAAGTCTGCTGGGTCCATACTCTGGCCGGATCGTTCTGTCACAGTTTGCTCGGACAGGACCCAGACCAGAACAGTGGGGTGAAGCAAAAGGTTTCATTCCGTGAGGTAAACAACAAAAATCAACAAAGTAAAAAACATCAGTAGTAAGCAACTTTCTGGTTCCTGGAGTGGGTCCCTTCACGAGAGATACTGGCGTGTCGGGTGGTCCGAAGTTAGGTGAGGTGAAGTCCGGCAGGGTGAACGGTCGTACAAGGTACAATCCTGGGGGGGGAAGAATTAGAGTTACCGACAATCAAGACCGGCACTAAATCAATCTCTAACCACATGGCGCTTTCAAGACTAACTCCATTCTCTCGATCTCTTCACTAATACCTACTATTGGCATCTAACAATCCAGCAGAGAATGGATCTCCGGGCTGCTCCTAAATACCCCGATAGGTAACGCGAGCCAGGTGCGTGATTTGGAACAGCTGCGTGTCCTCACGCCCCGTTGTCATGGCCACCAGAAAAACACCAACACAGACAGGGACAAGACAACAACAAAACACACCCATGACCTGGGCCCTGTTCCTCGTACGTGGCTAACTGAGTTAGCCGGATAATTTTCAGGATGAGATGACGTAGATCAGGCTTTTCGGTGCCCCGAAGCACGTTTGTCTAAATCACCATAGCACCACATCGAAAAACTTGAACCTGCTCCGGCGCAGGTTCATTTGAGCTGCTGGATTAGTTCTTCAGTCGCCCGGAAAAAAAGGGCAGCTCACTTCCTCAATGATGAAGGAGCGATATCAGTTAGATTAACGTTTTATAGGGAGAGACTTCTCAGAGATCACAAAGACCCGTTTAGCCGTGATGACGTCCCGTACTAGCGCTATAGATGCTGAGGACAAGGAATTATTTATTTACAAGAGGATTTCCCAGAGCCGAAACGTTATGTGATGAACACCACACACTGCAGCAGAACATCCACGGTCTCATATACTGTCCCACGGACTGTCTCCCACTGTCTCTCATACTCGCTCACACACTCTCTCATGTCTCACACGCTGTCGCCATGATATGATTCGTTTTATTTTATTTTGTATCGCAAATTTGCCTCAGAGGTCTTTACAGTCTGTACATATGTGACATCCTCTGTCCAGAAACCCTCACATCTGCACAGGAAAAACTCCCCAAACAATGGAAAAGTATTTGATGGGGAGAATAAAGGAAAGAAACCTTTAGAGAGACACAGGATGATCCTCCCTGGGACGGAGAGACTGCGATGGACGTACAGGATGAACAACATAAAATATGTATAATACGTTAAATTCTTCCGACAGAAATGATTCAAATTAACATTATCTCATCATATGTGTTCATGATCATCTTCTGCTCGTCAGCGGAGAAAAAAGACACTCTTCAAGTTTATTTGCCGTTATACTGTTAAAAAAATCCTCGACGCATCGCGTGACAGATGCGAAGCAACGCAACACAAAGCGTCGCGACTCTGTAAGGCTGTCCTGACTATATTGCATTATGTTATCAGTAAAACTCATATACAATCAATGACAATGAATAAATGTGTTAGTAGTTTGTAGTTTATTAAATTTAAGAAAACAGTAAAGAAAAGTCAACACAACACAACAAGACAATTGCAGATTAAGAACTATCTACACATGGAGTCTCCTTTTTACAGTAGTGCCCAAAGGGCCTCCTTGTCCTCCACGTCAGGTCCTGCCTTGCACAGAGGAGCCACGAACTGCTTCTCCTATCTCTATTCGACCCGGTGTTTCTCCTCTCCCTGTGCTCTCTGCATCATTGCCTGTACTATCACTGCCTGAAAAAATATGTTTAATTTAATTGAGTTGTGGGGCTGAGAACACCAGTTATGCAGCCTGTCAATTACACTGACAAAATAAGTTAAAGGAACACTCATGTACTACATATGTCATCATAAATAGCCTAAACAGCATGGGTTTTTTTTCACATTGAAAACTGACTTGTTTTCATCTACAACTTTCATGACTTCAAATAATTGATTAAGCATATAGGCCTATTCAGTGAAGCAGCAGCTTTGCTCCCCGCTCACATTTTCTATGCGAGAGCAGGACATGCGGTCATCATGAAAGTAAAAAACTAATATATTTGACCTTCACCGTCAATTCGACAATCGACAATTTTTCAATGAATTAGCCTAATCTGCAGCAATATGCGTGAGGATAATTACTCATTTTATTAGGCCTATTTAGATGGGACCGGAAAGGCTGGCTTGTTACCTGCATCATCGTATTTGAAAGCACGTTATTAATAGCGTTTGTCCCTGTCTTAATGCAATGTTGTGCGAACCAAAAACAACGTTTAAAAACGTGAATTGATCTTCAGTCTTACTTTGTACTTGAGGCCTTCTGCGGGCATGTGGGAGTGGGAGCACTCGATGGTCTCTTCAAATATCGCCTGATATCCATTGCTAATTACCGGCGGTAATCCATTCCGAACAGGTAGGCAGGCAGGCTAATCCAGTGGTCCCCAACCACCGGGCCGCGGACCGGTACCGGTCCGTGGGCCGTTTGGTGCCGGGCCGCACCACAGAAAGCTTATATATATTTTTTCTGGAAATTGTTTTATTTTGAAAATTGACCGGATTTTCCCCTAATTATGTGCGCGCGTCACCAGGCGTTTTTCTTGTCCTTTTACCGTGCACGGCCAGCGAACACAGAGCGCGCGACTACTACCCCCTCCCCCCGTCGGGCGTTCCGCCCGCAACGACTACTACACCCCCCCGTCGGACCTTCTCGACCGGTCCGCGAATATTGTCTGACATGAAACCGGTCCGTGACCGGATTTCTCCTAATTATGTGGGCTCGTCCCTCTGACATATTCCCCACGCGTCACCAGGCGTTTTTCTTGTCCTTTTACCGTGCACAGCAGTTTCGCCGACCAGCGAACACAGAGCGCGCGACTACTACCCCCCCCCCCCCCCCGTCGGACCTTCTTGACCGGTCCGTGAGGTAAAAAAGGTTGGGGACCACTGCTGTACAGGACAAGGACAAGAACTACTGTCGGTTCCTCCGGACTGCTTGTTCGCCTCTTTGGGTGGGAGGACCGCCGTCCTGCGTTCCTCCCGGGATAGGCCGATTGTTAGCGGGATCAGGCCGCGCCGCCTTTCCCTGCAGCCGCGGAGCGCATCGCCCTCCCGGCGACAAAAAAACGCCTGCTGACGCGCGCACATAATTAGGAGAAAATCCGGTCAATTTTCAAAATAAACCAATTTCCAGAAAAAAAAAAAATATAAGCTTTCTGTGGTGTGGCCCGGTACCAAACGGCCCACGGACTAGTACCGGTCCGCGGCCCGGTGGTTGGGGACCACTGCTGTACAGTATACTCTAATCGCAGCCAGCCGGACCATGCCCCGCTGTACTCCACTTCGGATCTTCCCGGCTTCGACAACCGCATGCGCCTTGACTACATTACAGTGACTTCTGATCAGTAAAAGCGCTATATAAATTAAATGCATTATTAATTTTTATTATTATACTGAGTGAGTTTTTTAAAAGACACATAAAATAGGGGCTCATGTTAAGTATCACAAAGCCCTTTTTCATAATTCTTGTTCCTGGATTGAGGTATGTTTCATTACTCTGGAAATCAAATTCGTCGACGAAAACTAGACTAAAACTAAGAAGGATTAAAATGACTAAATGTGACTAAAACTAATATGCATTTTTCGTCTAAAGACTAAGACTAAATCAAAAATAGCTGCTAAAATTAACACTGCTCTGCAACACGCGCAAGCCCTTTAGAACCATGAATTGAAACGAGTGCGTCGGCACAACGGTGCGTAAAGGCGCAGACGCCAGCCTTTACTGTCCGTTAACAAAGGAAATCTCAGCCATGAACTTCCTAATTACAAACAGTTTATTAAATGCGCAACCACACGCTGGATCACTGTTACATGCACTCCAGCGGAAAGGCACACCGCGGCAGCCGGGGAGGTTTAACCCAGGGAGGTTTAACACAGGGCTTCGACCGCCGGGAGGACGATGCACTCCGCGGCTGCAGGGAGAGGTGGCGCGGCCTGATCCCGCCAACAATCGGCCTATCCCGGGAGGAACGCAGGACGGCGGTCCTCCCACCCAAAGAGGCGAACAAGCAGTCCGGAGGAACCGACAGTAGTTCAGGTTGAAAGACTGGGCAGATGGTTGTATCTGTGTCTCTGGTTGGTTTAGACCACGATATGATCCAACCATAAGTGAGTTCCTTCAAAAGAGAACGCTTCGTTTGTTGAGAGGCAGCGGATGCGTGGGTGCAACCTAGGAAACATTTTAGTCGCACCCGTACAAATTTTGGTTGAACTGTGCGATCAAACCCTGGAACATGTCAGCTAGTTGAATATCTGTTTCCACCATGCTTTTAGACACAGGGCTGTATTTCAGGAAATGGATTTAGTGTGTGGCAGCTCAACATTTGGTGATTTGGTCATTGTGGTGATGCTCCACTTCTCTTCCTAGGCATACAATTATTTTGTTCCATCTCTAAACTTTTTATTATTTATTTACTCACTGAGGACACACACATGTGATGCTAGTATTAATTTTGATTGCCAATGAACATAAGAATATGAAATGAAATATGAAAGAAATATATGTTTGTCGCATATTTAAAATTTCCAGCGACCATTCTATCGTCCTGAGTCTTTCTGTCTTCATCTTTACAGGATGGTAGGATGATGGGATGGATGTGAAAATGGGCCAGTGGGTAGGGATGCGAGCCCTTCTCCTCGTCCTGGCCCTGCTGCTGCCGCCGCTGCTCTTCAAGCCAACACCCTGCTGTGCCCAGAACACCCAGGAGGGTTTTCAGGATGAACTTTACTTTGGCTTCACCCTGACTGTCTACCGCGCTACTCTTTATGAGAACTCAGCAGCACGCACCTATGCTAACACTAAAGTAAAAATGGGCATCTACCTTGCCCAACGCTCCTGGGAGATCCGCTACAGAATCACTTCGGGTGATGATGAAGGTTTTTTCAAGGTAGAGGAGTATGTACTGGGCGACTTCTGCTTCCTGCGCATAAGGACTAAAGGTGGCAACGCAGCTATCTTAAACAGAGAGATTCAGGATAATTATGTATTGACAGTGAAAGCCTCTGTCAAGGGAGATACCCTCCTTGAGACCTGGACTAAAGTCAGCATTCAGGTCTTGGATATGAATGACCTGCGACCCTTGTTCTCACCCACTACTTACTCCGTCAACATAGCGGAGAGCACCCCTCTCAGGACTAGCATAGCACAAGTTACCGCCACAGATGCAGATATAGGCTCCAATGGGGAGTTTTACTACTTTTTCAAGGAGAAAATTGAGCTATTTGCTGTCCACCCAACCAGTGGAGTGGTTTCTCTCAGTGGAAAGCTAAATATTGATGAGCAGAACCAATACGACTTAGAAATCCTGGCAGTAGACCGTGGCATGAAGCTCTATGGAAATAATGGGGTCAGCAGCACTGCCAAACTTCTTGTCCATGTAGAGCGTGTGAATGAGCATGCCCCAGTTATGAATGTGGTCGCCCACAGCCCCTCAGGGCTTGATAAAAACCCAGTATATGCTATGGTCACTGTTGATGACTTTGATGAAGGCTTAAATGGTGAAGTAGACTCAGTGGTCATTGTTGGGGGAGACCCTTCAGAGCAGTTTTTTATAGAAAGATTAACGAAAGGGGAGTTTGCTGTAAAGGCCTCAGAGTCATTCAATCGGGACACTTACCCTTATGGTTGTAACCTCACACTGCAAGCTAAAGACAGGGGAGCCCCACAGAAGTTCTCTCCTGTCAAGGTTGTCCACATTATGGTCAAGAAAAAGCAGACAGCAGAAGCAGTGTTTGAGCGAGAGTTGTATGATCTTAGTCTGAATGAAATTTCCCCACCAGGCACTATTGTAGAGGCTGTCAAAATCAGTGCAGAGCCGGATAATGTAGCATATATGATGACACCTTCTGCAGATTCTGCTTTTTTTCAAATTAACACATTAACTGGCGTAATCTCCACCACTCAGTGGTTTACTCAGGTTTCTCAGAATGTCTTCAATCTGGAGCTGGTAGAAATAGATAGTGACGTCAAAGTTAAAGTGCGGGTAACCATTGAAGATGCCAATGACAACCCACCAACATTTGATCAGGCCTCTTATGAGGTTTTGATCAATGAAAGTGTACTTGTTGGGACCAATGTATTGACAGTTTCTGCAGTGGATGAGGATAAAGGGGAAAATGGATACATAACTTACAGCATTTCCAGCTTTCAGCCATTACCCTTCAAAATCAATCAGTTTTCTGGTATCATCAGCATTACTAAAGAGTTGGACTTTGAATCTTCACCGGAGAGCTTTGTATTTCTTGTTAGAGCATCTGACTGGGGGTCACCTTACAGGCGAGAGAGTGAAGTCAATGTAACAATTCACTTAGAAAATGTAAACGACAACCAGCCATTGTTTGAGATGATAGCGTGCCATGGTGTTATCTCAAGGGATTTGGCAGTCAATGAAGTGATTACTACAATGTCTGCGATTGACATAGATGAGTTGGAGCTAGTAAAATATAAGATCCTTTCGGGTAATGAAAGGGGGTACTTTGACCTCAACCCTGATTCTGGTGTCCTTTCACTGCAAAATTCTTTTGTCACAGCCAGTCCAATGAATGGTGTCTTTAGTCTTAAAATAACTGCCACAGATGGTGAGAACTTTGCTGAGCCTATGTTTGTTAACATTTCTGTTGCTCAAGGCAAATCTCCTACAAGTTTCAACTGTAGAGAGACCAGGGTAGCCCAAAAGTTAGCAGAGAAGTTACTCAAAAAGTCCAAAGCTAGCACCAAACACAAGATCGAAGAAGGATTTATTGACCTTTTCTCTGTCAATCGGCAGACACCCCAGTTTGATAAAGCTTTCCCAACAGATATTTCTGTATGGGAAGACCTAAAAATTGGTTCAAGTGTTTTCAAGGTAAATGCCTTTGATGGTGACACAGGTTTCAATGGCCAGATTCTGTACTCTATTTCAGATGGAAACACTGACAACTGTTTTACCATTGACATGGAGACTGGCCTTATCAGTGTCTTTCTCCCTATGGATAGGGAAAAGAGGGATCGTTATCTCCTTAACCTAACCATATATGACCTTGGCCTGCCACAGAAAACTGCCTGGCGTTTGCTAACTGTATACATTGAGGATGCTAATGATAATGCACCACAGTTTTTGGAAGAAGGAGGCTATAGTATTGTCATTCCCGAAAACACTGCCATAGGTACTGATGTTATCCAGGTTGAGGCCACTGACAAAGACCTTGGACCTAATGGGGAGGTTGTATACTCTGTCTTGACAGGCACCAGCCAGTTTGGTATCAACTACACTAGTGGGATAGTGTATGTTGCTGGCCAACTAGACAGAGAGTTTGTTTCGACTTTTAACTTAAAGATTGAGGCCCGGGACAAGGGAGTGAAAGGGGGCCAGAAGTTTTCTGTGATCACCATGAAAGTCATATTGGAGGATGTGAACGACTGTCCCCCACTATTCATCCCCAATGTATATAAAGCCAGGGCTCTAGAGGATCTTCCAGTTGGAACTGTTGTGGCATGGTTAGAAACCCAGGATCCAGATTTGGGGTTGGGAGGCCAGGTCCGGTACTCTCTAGCCAACGACTACAATGGATGGTTTGAGGTAGACAGGGCTAGTGGGGCTATTCGGCTGACAAAAGAGCTGGACTACGAGACTCAGCAATTTTACAACCTGACTGTGAAGGCCAAAGACAAGGGAAGGCCTGTTTCTCTTCTCTCAGTCACCTTTGTAGAGGTGGAGGTCGTAGATGTGAATGAAAATCTCTACGCGCCATACTTTTCCCACTTTGCCTTGACAGGATTAGTTAAAGAGAATGCCCGTATTGGAACTACTCTCCTCCAAGTCACTGCTAACGATGATGACACTGGCAGAGATGGAGATATCCAGTATTCGATTCATGATGGCAGTGGACTTGGACGATTTGCCATTGATGGAGAGACAGGTGAGTTTTACCAATGTTTAAAAGACAAATTGTATTAAGTTTCCTGACTGACACAGTTGTAGTGTTGATGCCTTTTTGTATTATAAGTAAGCTTTGTTTTTTTATAATTCTTCTTGTGCTTAACATTTTTTGGCAGTTACATAGTAAGGACAAAAAGATATCCATATGGGTGTGTTTTGGGCTGCTGTCGTGGTGTTTATCTTTTCTTTGGATCTTCAACTTGGCTGCTATATTTAGATGTTCAAGTTGTTTCAATTGTAATTCATGTAGCTTAATAATGCTTGTCTGTTTTTATTTTTAATCGATTGTCATCTTTTCTGGTATATACTTGTAAGGCTTTAGTTAGGAAAGTGGTTGAATATTTATAAGTGATATAATCAGTTGTTTCCTCTAGGTTTAGGGGTTACGTGGACACAACACATGCTCTCTGTCCGCTGGTGGGAGTGTGCTCACCTGCGCGCGCACATGTCAGCCAAGACATGTTATCAGCGGTCAATACAACATTTTGACTGATTATAAATAAAACAAACAGAAACATAGATATACACTCTCACACACAATCTGGTGAGGTTATATAGTATATAGGTTATTGTTGGTTATATATATATATATATATATATATATATAATTTATTAGGTGATGAACAGGAGCAGAGTGGGGGGAAGGATTTACGGCCCTTTTTTGCTGAGCCTTGGCAATCCCCATTAATCACCCCTAGCTATTTTAGCACCCTATTACAACTTCAATTATTATAGAGACACACACATTCACTAGTTGAGTTTCTAAATGATTAGAAAATGTATGCTCAATGGGGAACGTCTTAATTTGGCCTTTGGGGCGAGGCATTTGGGGAGAGAGGCCCAGCAAACAAGTGAAAACCACCATTAAGACAGCTGTCAATCGAAAAAACACACCTAAAATGCAAGGTAAAATGTGATATTGTCATAAGTATTGTATTATTAGGAATTTAAAATAAACTTCCTTGCATTGTAGTAATCCGTGTGAGCTGACTGCACTGTGTCATTCTTGTTTTATCAATGGCTAGCAGGTGGAAAGTCAGTAGTCTGCTGTAATCTGAAGTGCTATGTTATGGTTTATACATTACACTTTAGCCATGGGCCATGGGGTTGTGTCGGAAAATAATCAGTGATTCCAATCTCCTGATTTTACAGCAAAATACCAGGGGTCTCTTTAGTAAGTGTGTATTTAGCACTGTACATGGGTGTAGTGTCTCAGTGTAGGCGTTTATGATGTTTTTTTGCTATAATAATGAGGTTGTGGGCGGCTTAATGCTGTTGTTGTGTGTTAATATAGATGTGCTGTAGTCTCCCAGCTGCTGGTGTATTATTGGACACCCACCTTTACTTCCCACAGACACACACTTACCTTGAAAGCCTAACCATTCCATGTCGTTCTCCCGCCCACTCTGTTTGGTAGGAAGCTTTTCACATCAAGACTCTTAATCACAGTGTCACTTCTCCCTGGGGACTACTATGTTTTGGGAGAGATAGACAGAAAGGAGGAGGAGGTGAAGCAGTATTCATGATTCAGGATCAGGAATCATGTCAAACATACAAGGAATTTGTCTTGGCGGTTGGTGCGTGACAGTAGACACAAAACAGAAAATAGACAACAAGACAGCAGTGCACAAGTAATAAAATAAAATAAAAAGCTAATGCGATGGGTTAGTAGAATAAGGCTATGGGTTAGTATAAAATAAGAGAATAAAGTTAAAAATTTAAAATATTTAAAAAGTAAATATTAAAAACAAAGTGCACTATCGAACAACTGACAAAGTGACGAGTGACGACAAAGTGACGAATGAAAAATTACAGTTAAAGTGACATATGAAGGAGAGTGGAATGTTATAGTGTGGGGGACCGGGCTCTGTTGATGAGCCCGACTGCCGACGGGAAGAAACTGTTCGTGTGGCGGGAGGTTTTAGTCTTGATGGACCTCAGCCTCCTGCCAGATGGAAGGGGCACCAACATCTTTTTAGCTCGCTTCCGAGACCTGGAAGCGAACAAGTCCTGCAGGGACGGCAGATTGCAGCCGATCACCCTCTCTGCAGAGCGGATGACACGCTGCAGCCTGACCTTGTCCTTGGCTGTGGCGGAGTGTGTGGCACGGTCGTACTCCAATCACAGGGTTGTCGGTTCGATCCCAGGCCCGGCTAAGCCGCATGTCGATGTGTCCTTGGGCAAGACACTTAACTCAACATTGCTCCTGTAGCTGCGACTATAGTGTGTGAATGGTAGTGACTGATGGACAGGTGTCACTGTGTATGGTTCTCCTGTCATCAGTGTATGCAGGGGGTGAATGATGTCATGTAGAGTTAAGCGCAATGAGTGGTCCGGAAGACTACAAAAGCGCTATACATGTACAGTCCATTACCCGTAACCATGAATGCCTAATTCTACAATGATTTATTTCTGACAGGCGGGGGAGGCCCCGCAGCATTGTAAAGAGCTTTGAAATGTACATCAAGGGAGTTGATATAGAGGCTGATAGACCTAGGAAAAATACACATATACCCACACTTTCTGACTGACATACATACATCCAAATTTGACAGTACTAATCTGCATTCCACTGCTTCGCTTACACTTGTTTAAAGCATCCATCCATCCATCATCAAACCACTTATCCTGCAGATAGGGTCGCTGGGGGGGCTGGAGTCTATCCCAGCCAACTTCGGGCGAGAGACAGGGTACACACTGAGACTGGTCGCTAGCTAATCGCGGGGCTACACAGAGACATATTGTACAACCATTCACACTCACATTCATACACCTACGGGCAGGGGATTGTTTAAATCAATCTGCTCCAAATGGATTGGTTGAAAGTTCAGCTTTATTTAGTCCTGCTTTGAGAATGAAAATGGTCACGTTCTGGTCGTGTTAGCTTTAGGCCACCCTTCGCCTGCACTCAGGCCAGTGTGCGGCCTGCAGCAATGTGGCCAGAAAACACTGATCATGTTTACCATGCTTTTTACTTCATTGTTTGGTCGCCATCATTTATATTTAAACAATCAAGGTGTTTATGATCACTATTTAATCAACATAAATAAACTTAAACTTAACTTAAATAAAACAAAAGTATATTCAATATACAGAATGGCCCATTTTTAATAATAATTTATAGTAGGTCTATATCACTGATCTATTAATATTTAATAGATTTAATGTTGCAGCTGTTAAGGTGGAGCTCTTTTAACTATTCAATTCATTTTATTTTGTATAGCCCAAAATCGCAAATTACAAATTTGCCTCAGAGGGCCTCTGTCCTGAAACACACACATCGGCACAGGAAAAAATGAAAAAATGAAAAAACCCTTCTAAGAGGGAAAAAAGGGAAGAAACCTTAGGGAGAACGTCAGAAGAGGGATCCCACTCCTACGATGGACAGACTACAATGGATGCCATGTGTACAAAATGAACAATGTATAATACATTCGATTCCTATGACAGAAATGATTAATGAGTAGCAAGCCAGGCGCACGGCAGGACCACTGCAGGGACAACCACCATCCACAGAAGCCTGTGGGGAGGGAAAGCACAAATACTTTAGGAGAGGGAAATGTTGGTTTATGATTATAGTAATATGATTAATATTAATGATGATGATGGCAGCAGCAGCAGGTGTCAGCAGGGCCACGGCAGAGGTCAGTACCAGGGTCCAGAAGGAACTACGATCTACGGAGACCTGCCAGGGGAGAAAGCACAAAAAAAAAAATCCCAGAAAGAAGATGAATTAGTCATGTGCATTAATAAAACGTGAATTATTGTAGAACGAGAGAGTGAGAGGAGCTCGGTGTGTCCTAAGACGTCCCCCGGCAGTCTAAGCCTATAGCAGCTTAACTAAGGGCTGGTCCGGGCTAACCTGAGCTAGCCCTAACTAAAAGCAAAATCAAAGAGGAAAGATTTAAGCTATACTTAAATCTGCCCCCTGGACTGAAAGTGGAAGCTGGTTCCACAAAAGAGGAGCTTGATAACTGAAGGCTCTGGCTCCCATCCTATCTTTTAAAAGCTAGAAACAACAAGTAACCCAGCATCTATGGAGCGCAGCTGCCTTGTAGGGCAATACGGTGTTACAAGCTCTTTAAGAGACGGTGCCTCACCAGCAAGTGCCTGGTAGGTGAGGAGAAGTACCTTAAATTATATTCTTGATTTAACAGGAAGCCAGTGCAGAGAAGTTAATACAGGAGTAATATGATCCCTTTTATTAGTTCTTGTTAATACACGTGCTGCAGCATTCTGAATCAACTGGAGAGGCTTAAGAGATTTACAAGGGCAGTCTGATAACAAAGAATTACAGTAATCCTGTCTAGAAGTAACAAATGCATGAACACATTTTTCTGCATCACTTTGAGACAGGAAATTCCAGATTTTTTATATATTACGTAGATGAAAAAAGGCAGTCCTTGAAGTCTTCTTTATATAAGAGTTATACTGGTCAAAGAGAACTCCAAGATTCCTGCCGGTGCTGCTGGGTACCAGAGCAATTCCTTCCATATAAACTGTGTCACGTGCAGTGTTAATTTCGTCGACGAAAACTATGATGAACATTTTTCGTTAACAAACCTTTTTTCCATGACTAAAACGAGACTAAGACGTGACGAAAACGATCTTAAAAAATAAAATTACTAAATCTATTCTAACTTTCGTTAACGAGACGAACATGTTGGTGGTTGACGAAGTCACAATACTTTTTCCCCCTAAATTCGCACGCAGCTAACAGATAACAGTCAGGCAAAGTACGGCGGATATCCACGAACGTCATCCACGAACCCAGAACGCTCGCATCGGTGCAGCGGTGGTTCTTGTGCACCGACTACGGACCGTGACGACTATCTTACGCTTACATACACTCATTGCAGGTTCTGAAGCCAAGAAAATAATGTATTGCAACGATTGTAGGACGTTAAAGGGTCTCTTTTGTGACATTGGAAACAATAAAGGACCATGAAGTTTCAAAAGCATTGCAAGTAAACAGACAAA